TTCATCTCCTTGAGTAGGAAAAAGCCATTTACCATGTTCTTTTCTAAAGCAGTTTCCGGGGAGGTCCAGCAAACATGGCCAGGAGCTGCCAGCATTGAGCCCTGACCGAGTTTCTTTGCTTGAGTAAATCAATGTTTTGCCACTAATGTGATCTGAATGCCCATTTTCTGTGCCCCATTGATTTTAATGCTGGGGCTGGGGTGCAGGGGGGGCAGCACTGGGGCAGCTCTCTGTCAATCCCACCAAGGCGCTTGGAGCTTTCACCCCCATCAGATTTTACGGTGTGTGATGTGCAAACAGGTTAGGGGAGAGTGGCCGCGCACTCCAGCCGGGGGAACTCCCATCACCTGTGGTGCCCCGTAGCACCCATCTGCCTCCCTGCCTGTCCAGCTCTATTATTTTTTTGGCAGGGGAGGTTTCTCAGGGCTGTGTTTCAGGAAGGGGATGCTCTTGTTTAGTCTGGGCCAGTCAAAATACCTGCGAAAGAAAAGTTTTTGGCATAAGAGGGTTTTTTTCATTGTTATAATGGGATAGTGTTGCACGAGCCCCACTGTGGGATGGAGACGGTGACGGCATCCCCTCCCACCCTGGGATCACCAGCGAGGGAGGGAGCTGACCCCCCACCAGCCTGGGGTGAAGCAATTAAGCTGCGTGGCTGCCACCAGCGTTTCCTGCCTGTAATTAAAGCTTTTAATGAGGAGGCATGTGGCACACACACACACACCACCCCCCACCCCACCACCCCCGGGCCCAGGCTGGCATTTTGCCAGGTGTGAGTTTATTAACAGCTGCTAATTACACTGTCATTCAGCGCAGAGGGCTGGAATTGGCTGTGAACGCTGCCAAAAAAAAACCCTTCTTAATTTTATTTATCTTTTTTCCCTTTGCATTGGGAACTGAAGCCCCAGGCGTTTGTAGGGCATTTTGGGGACCCCACCACCCCTGGGACACTGTGCTGGCTCCTTCCCCACTGCACCCGCTCCTTCCCCACTGCACCCAACTCCCTCCTCCATGCACAAGGCCACAAATCCGGCTGCACATCCTCCCTGCAGCTGGCGAGCACTTTTTATTCCCTGGAGTGAGTTTTGCTGAAAACCTGATAGTTGCAGTAGCCGCAGCGGGGCTTGAAGCCCTTCCCCATCCCGATGGCATATCCTGCTGCTGGGGCATCCCTGGCCCAAACGAGCCCCGCGGCTCCTGCGTGTCTCCGGACCAGGTGTGCATGTGATCCCGGTAAGAAAACCGGTGGCTTCGTTCCCCTTAGACTGCAGCTCTGCTGCTGGGGTGTTTAGTGGACCAAGTGCAGTACAGCAAGGCTGTCTTCCCCCTGCAAAAAGGCTCTTGGTAATGTTTTACAACAGCTGATTACATTTTTTTACATTGGGTCTTATAAAGTACCTCACTCCCAGCCTGGGGCTCTTTGAATTTTCCAGCTCTGTGCAATCATTTAGAGAAAATGAGCATTAAAATCAACCACGTGGAATTTCTCCCCTTTCTTTAAAAGCCAGTCCCAGGTCTTGGTCCTGCAGCAGCTTGGTGCCATCCTGTCTCTGCCTGCCTTGTACCTGTAACCGCTGTCACCGACGGGACACCTCCGTGGCCATCACTGCTCCGATGTACCGAAGCCGCCCCCGGCGAGCAGGGCCAGGACGGCCGGAGAGGTGGGTGACGATGGAGTGAGGGCACGTTGAGCTGCTCACCAGTGTCTGGACCTCGAGGGGACCCACAACTGCACAAGCACAATCGGGGGCTGGGAATGCCCCTCCAGTACCATCGGAACCCGCAGCTGAAGGACGAGCAGAGCCAGCAGCTGGTGAAGCTGGAAGGCAAACCCTGTGGCCTTCACTAGGTGCTGTAACGCTGCATGAGTGTCTGAAGTTAAGTGGGGGGATCGCACAGGCTCTGGGAGCTTCCCGGCAATTGGGGACCCAGGCAGCGAGGAGTAGAGCGGAGCGTTTGCAGGCAGGAGCCTAACGAGCTTTGGCAAAGCGCGGTGGCAAAGTGTGGCAGCAGCTCCCCAGCTCGTGGTGGCCAAGCTTGGTGCTGGCCAAGGGTGTCTCCCACACCCTTCTCCAGAGCATCAGGAAATAATTTATTTCAAAATATTTCATTACGGTGACTCGATTGACAGGGCAGCATTTTTGGGAGCAGGTAGGAAGGGGGGTTGAATGTTCAATATCAGATTAACTTATCTGAGCTATTTACCTATTTGAGGTTACAGGGGATTTTGCATTAGCAGCGTGACAGAGCAATACGCCGAAATCGCAACGTGTAGTGATTGCAATGTCCAGGTGAATCCCAGTACAACCATCATGCCCGGTACCAGCACTCCCTGTGTGCCCGCAGCTTGAACAATGTGCTGGGGAAGACCTTGGCGCTGTGCAAGCTGCCCGGTGGGGAGAGGAGAAAGCGCAAGGGTCTGAGCACAAGAGTGAAAATTGGAATAATTCCTCTTTAATGGAAAATACAGCCCTAGGGTGCATGAACTCTGCGTGTCCTGCTCCAGCTTTCGGCGAACACGTGCGTGGTCTCTCACAGCACGTAACACCCCAAGAAAAGCGACTCCTGCTCATTAAGGGTAAAACAACTGATTTATCTGAGGTGACGCTTGACGATTCTTGGTGCACACCAAAGTTATGGAGAGAGGGGTGGAAAATAAACCAGACTTCTCTGGAAGCGAAGCCCTGGGCCAGTCTCCGGGTGCCCTCTGCTGCCAAAACCCCTCCCGGGCAGCAAGTGCAGCCTTGCCTGGTGGGCACTGCTCCTGCCCTGGCTCTGGGGCCCAACGATTTTGCTTCCTCGGTGCTATTTGTTGCTAATTTTGCCCTATGACAGGATTTTCAGTTTTGCACAATAATGTTGGCATTAGGTGAGCTCCCATGAGTGTCACCCCTGCCGCTAAACCTCCTGTGGATACCCATTTCATTCACTGTTTTATTGAAGATGTTATTAAAAAAAGGGATTGCAATGCTTATTTGCACTTCATAGGTAAGCCTTTAAAAAAAATAGCATTTTTCCCTCTCACAAAACAGTCATTCTTCGAGACACTGCTTCTACAGCCGTTACTGAAATATGCCAGATCTCCTGGTGAGACTTTTTATTACTCGTTGGGAAGGATTATATTTGGCAACAGCCTTCACTGTGTATCCTGTCCCCCTCCCGCAGTTAAAGGCCTTTGTTCTTTAAATTGATTTTATGAACAAAAATGAAGAGGAGAAATTAGGTTACAGGATTTGAATAACATCGATTTTAAGAAGCCAGTATTTCCAGAGGGGTCACGGCAAAGTTGTTGGGTTTTTTTTCTTCACAAATCCATTCTTTTCCATATGTCATTTATTTCAACTAAATGGCTTTGTCATCAGACCACCAGCATTTAATCTCAGCTGATGAGAAGCCTAAACAAAGAGCTCAGTGTAATAAATCTCCTGTTGAGACCCTCTGTTAGCTGTAAACGGCCGTCTTACGTGTTTGTATTAATGATTTATTCACTCACCAAAAAAAACCCAACCCCTTTTTTTTTGAAAGAAATACCTTAAAAGGTCTAATTCAACACAAGAAGTCAGGTCACCCTTTAACCCACCGCTGCCTAAATACCAGAGCGCTCCACAGTGATGCAAACCCGAACTGTGCGGATGCTGAACTGTGGAATACCTGAATGTATGTGAAGATGTTCAACTTTGGGCCATACCCCCTCTGTGTGCAGCAATGCCCGTGGTCAGGATTCCAGACAGAAAGGAAAAGGTTTCAGATGCATCAGCACTAGCCCTCATACCACTTCTTCCTCCTCGTTATTTCCAAGACAAAACACCAATAATTTTGAAGACTTCCATGAATATATCATGACATTGAGACGTAGACAGCAATGACCCTGAAGAACGGGCAGCAATCAATTGTCTCACCCCTGCTTTGTCAAATTCTTGCTTGTAGTTGTTCTCTTCTGGAACCAGTCACAGGCTCTTTGGGTTCAGGGTATCACCTTTGTTTCTTAGTAGGTTTTTCAAATGTTATTCTTTACAATTTGGCTTGAAGTAAACCAATATCTACATCTCTGCACCCAATTTACAGACTAGTGGCTGCTTCATTTCTGCAATGAAACTGATGGTATGGGATGAAGACGCGCTTTTTAGCTACAGCAGACGTTGTATTGCACATGACACTTTTCTACTCTTCAAGTTCGAGCAGATCAGGGAACTTTTAAGTCACTGAGCTGTTTCCTAAACAAGTAACTTCATTTTTAGCAGATGCCCTGTTTTTCCCTCCTCGGAACTCCAGCCTCCACACAGGCTGACATTTGCTACACGAGTCAGAGCGCAACATCAGAAACTCATTCCCTCTCACAGGACTTCAAGAGCAGCCCCTCAGTCTCCCAGGTCAAGGCAATTTATGTTTAAAGATACAGGTTTTACCAAGCCAACGCTGTAGGAAGTCTTCAGAAGGCAGGGAAGAAAGAGTTGCAAGGCGCATTTTATGCGTTTAATACTTTTTTTTTTTTTATTCCAGTAACTTCTAAATTATTCACAAGTTTAATGTCTTTCAAACCTTTGTGCTAGGATTGCTACTTCATGATACATCTCTACAGGAGATTCAAAACCTGCTGAGGCTGACAGAAAGATGTGTGCAGGCTGTAATGCAGTTTGAAGTAAGTATAGATAGCATAAGCTTAATTAAGTCACCTCAAAGAACTCAAGCATATCAGTCTTCACAACATTTGTACAGGAAAAGCTGATTAAACATGAGTAAAATGAACTTTGCTATTTAGTAGAAAAAAAGGCACTGAACAACAAAACCAAAACCAGCCAAACAAAATATATATATATAAAGCAACTGAGCTAAAGTAGGACAAAGCAATCGAGTTGCTCATTTCCTCCAGCAGCTTCTGTATCTTCCGTCTATGGAGCAGCACGCTGCCCTTGCTTAAAGAAAACACGATTTTCCCCTCTGCAACCCTATGCGGAGCAGCAAGGAACTGACCTGAAATTCAGTATTGATGCAAGCAGATCTATTTCTCAGCAGAGCCTTGACAAGAGCATCCCTGTCTTGCTCCACTCCGTGGACTTCCTTGTTGGTGTTTAAGCCTCAGCGACTGGCACTTTATCCTTAATGAGGCACTGCCTGTGCCATACAGCTCCTTTGGGAAGCTGGTGCAAAGTCCCAACATCCTCGCTGACAAAAACATCAACTCTGAACTGGTACCAGTCTGGAAATTCACTTAAGACATTCTTAAACGTGGAATTTTTTTTAAACAATAAAAGTAAACAAATGCTAAGTTGTGTCAAAAGTTAATGTTCCTAAGGTCAGGAAGGTACCTTCACAGCCAGGCTATCCAACCCCAAATTTATTCTGAATCACCATTTTCAGTTACATTTCACAGGAAATCAAGGCTTTTTTCTCTCCCTCCTTCCCTGGGGGAGTGCTAAATAGGTGCAAACTGACACAGTTCAACAGCTTTTATTCTAGATCCTGGCAGAATTAGAGGAGTAAGGGGTTAGGGGAGATGCTTCTGGAAAGATAAGCCCCTATCATTTTAAGCAAGCTGTCTAAATCTTTTTTGCTGTCTTTTCAGAATTTCCATTACAGTAACCGATCATGCTTCTTTATTTTTTTGCTTTTCTCTTCAACCTCTTTCAGCACGTCTTGCAGTTTCTTAGAGTTCTGTGTCAAGAATGCAAAGCTTTCTTTGAAGTTGCCAGTCCCGTGCTCCCTACAGATATTCTCAAGCCCATCAAACCACTGCAAAATCTTCTCAAGCTCAGCCTGGACGGCCTTCTGTTCTTCCAGTTCTGCTCGCAGCGCCTGCCCAGCCGACGCCTCAGCCCTGTACTGCTGCTGCAGCTGGTGGATCTCATCCTGAAGTGCCTGGAACTGCTCTTTGCTGTAGGGGTACTGCTCGTGGACCTTGTCCTCGGGAAGCAGCACGTTCTTGGGGATGTTTAGCACCAGCTGCAGCAGCACTTCTTCCATTTTACTGAAGAGTTTATCAAAGTGTTCCTTCATGAAGAGAAGAAATTTCTCCGTGCTTTTCCGGATTTGGAAGGGGCTGATTTTACAGTCGGGAAACCCGCCCAGCTTCTTCAGGATTACACTCTCAACCACCAGCATCATTTCGAAGAGGTAGTCCTGGAACGCGATGTAGACGCGGAGCATGCACGTCTGGGGGGTGAAGCCAAAGAACTGCGCTTCGTAGGCCATCGGATTGACCGACATGGTGGCGGCTGAAGGCCGGTAAGGAGAGGAAGGAGAAACGCGGGCCCTGGGGGAGACGGGCCTCGCTGTAGGCGGCAAGGCCGAGCCCGGAGCTGAGGGGAAGCC